GCATGAACAGGTCGTCTACATCCAGTAGCATCACCTCGGGCACGTTCGAGTGGTACAGAGCCAAAGGTTTGATCCACCAACTGCGGAAGTGTCGGGCTGTCTCCTCGTCCAATGCGCCGCTCTCGACAAGATCCGAGCACACGTCGACGATCTCCAGTCGCGAGTCCGCAGCGAATAGCTGCTCCCTAGTCTTGACGGACAGTTCGTCCTGGAAGCAATGGTACACTTGGATGAGCTCCTGGTTACCTAGACAGCGAAGCTCCCGTACTAGCGACAATCCCATGGGAACAACACCGTCGTGCATACAGAGAACGATGGCCTTGTCTCGCGGAACGCTGCGGTCGAACTTGGCACCGCGAGCGTGGAAGAGAGACGGATGGGTAACCGTTGTGGACATCAGCAGACTCGAGATGGACACTATCACGACGCAGTACAGTAGGAAGAGTCCAGCGCGACGCCAGAGCGAAGTGTCCACTTTCGAAGACACATCGCCCGCTTCCAGGTCCTTCAGCTTCGCCATTGAGAGCAAGAAGTGAAAAGGAGACGGCGAGATGGAGAATGTGCAGTGATCAAAGCCATCTGAACCATCAGGCCACCGTACATACGTCAACCGTTTACGGTCGACTAATTATCGCTAATTGAGACTGTAAATCGGAGTGTGTGCCTCTTCCTCCGAGCCATCTGCTGTATAATTTGTCGCAAGTAACTCGTCATCTCGTGATCCTTATTCCGGACCAGACCCGGCGTTGTTATTTACTATCGCTTCAAGTATGCGCGTCCATCCCTCGTCCATCCCATTCATCAATTAAGCGCAGCAGATCGTCAAGGCCGCCGTGGTGAGGAATTCCGAAGCATTTTCTCCCATTTACTGCCGACCAACTCTCTCATGAACCGACCACGCAAGGGGACAGTCAACTACACGCTTTTGCTGTTCGTACTGTGCTGCATGGCGGTGGCGTCCACGACGCTGCTCTCGAGTGTCTTTAGCTCCGTGGGGAGTAAATCGAGACACTGGTTCACCTCTGGTATCCACCAACGCAAGCAGAAGACCGTCGCCACGCAGTTCGACACTTCAGTATCTCGCGATAAAGGAATCGTCATGAGTGTGCACAACGCAGCGGTTCCCTTGGGTCTGTCGTTGATCCGAGACCTTCGATGTCTCGGAAACCAGGAGCTCATCCAAGTGTACCACTGCTTTCCCGACGAAATGTCCGATACGAACCGAGCCATGTTATTAGAAGCAGATGCTAGAGTCGAGATCGTGGACGTGTGTACGGATTTCGTGGACCGTGGCGTGATGAAGCGCGAGACGGCGGAGAAATTCCGGAACTGGTGGCTCAAACCCTTAGCATTATTCCATACAGACATCAAGGAAGTGCTGCTTATGGATGTGGACGACGTTTTTCTGAAAGATCCCGCTGTGTTAAGAACCACAGAGGGGTATCAACAGACAGGCACTACCTTCTTCTATGACCGTGTACTATGGAGCAATGAGTGGTTCAATCAGGAAGTGAAGAACTCGACATACTTGAAGACTCTACTGAAGGAATTCAACTACACTGCGTTTGGATTAAGCGACGGAATGAAGATTCCGTATAATCTGGAGCACAGTTATGCGTATAGAGGAGAAGCTTCACACGAACAGGACTCATCGTTAGTGGCAGTGGATAAATCACGGTCAGGTCAAGCCATGACGGTCATGTTCTGGCTTATTACGGTACAGCGGTTTGAGCGGGAGTTCTCGTTTGGAGACAAGGAGACGTTCTGGATCGCCTACGCTCTGGCAAAGCAAGACTATTTCTTCTCTCCTTGGGGCCCTAGTGTGCTTGAGTCGTCTAGAAATGACGATATGAAGAAACATTCCGACTCATTATGTGGAAGTCTGGCACACTTTATGCCTGTCAAAGATGATACGCCTGAATTGCTGTACGTGAATGGCAAAGCTCTATTGGAACCATTCCCCGAAGGCCTTGAGAACCGAGGGAAAGCGTCAGCCAATGTCCTGTATAACCCCACGCCGGGTTACGTTACGCCTAGACAAAACCGTAGACCGAACGGCGGCACTTCGACCAGCTACGATGGGGATTTCCCGATGGAATGTCTTATTGGCTTTGGAGCGACTCCACTACCCAGTAACTTTGCACCGCAGCTATTACGAAGACGCATGTTTTATCTGGGAATCAGAATGGACGTGCTGTCAGTGCTAGATTCATGTTACGCATTTGATACAGCGGTGTAAGTACGCAGACTACGCATAAAGAGTTGAATTTACTCTTGTTATTATCAAGTGGATAGTGTCTGCAAAAGAACTAAATTCGTGTTTTGCCCGGAAGCTCTAAATATTGCCGACAGAACTTCACCTCTTTGCAACTCGCGCTACAGAGAGCAACAAACAAATTTGGCCTCTCCTTGACAATGTTTCGAGATACTAATCTCACTTACAGACTCCGTGTTAGTACAGTAGAAATAGTAGAAACCTGTTTACTACAGCTTTCGGCGCTGATTAAAGCGCATCAGTAGGTATAGTTTGATCAAGCTAAATACCTACCTAGTTGGTATGAACAGTACAGTGTACTTTGTTCCTACCTCGGCCTTTGTGTTGCCCTCGCCTTCGTGATGACGTTGTTGAGGTGCGCATGGATAAGTTCAATTATTATCAAGTTGATAGTGTCCGCAAAAGACCTTAAAAATTCCTGAACACACAAAAACAACATAAGGCCACATTGCAACAACATTGTTTTTCGTTTTTACTAAAGGTGAAAGTCACGCCCAGCAACATTGGTGGGCTAACATACAGCACGGCGTAACATCTTACGCCGTTGTGAGTTTCTTGCGAAGACGGCGGGCAGGTGCGTTGCATTTCGTATCTTCCGTTGAAGGAGCTTCAGGAGTCGAAGGAGCATCAGGGGTCGAGGGCGCCTGGGTAGTCTGGGTGGTAGCTGCTGGCGTTTCTGCTGCCGGAGATTCCTGCTTTCCCGTCGATGAGCCTTCAGTCGACTTCGTCTCCGTCGATGGAGAATCCTGCTTAGTATCGGAATTTCCTGATGCTTCAGCTTGCTTCTCATTCTCTGACGCTCCGGAAGACTCGGCTTCCTTCGACGAGCCCTGTGTCGTCGGCGTTGAGCCGCCTCCACCACTTCCTTCCAGAGGCACGCAGTTAACTGAACAAAGCAAAGGATTAGTTGCACCGCATGACCGATCACTTTACAAGTGTACGTACCATAGGTCTGCCACTGCGCGTTCTGGAACGCCAGCCAATAGATCGTCAACAAGCATTTACCGTTGCACGATGAAAAGTCCACTGGCATATCGGACGTTTGTTTCGAGCCATTGGGGCCACCCTTGAACTCGTCCTCGCAGTCATCACCGTGGAGAACCATCTTGTCGTCTAGGTAGATTTCACAAGGGCCAGTGTGGGTGAAGCCGCCGCCCTCGTTGCCATGCCACTTGACTTTCCCGTCGGCCGGAATTGGCTGGGGGTCCCCATTTTCCAGCGTGTTACCACATTTCTGGTCCTTGACCATGTCCAGCACCACGTCCTTCACAGACATGCCCTTCTCCTTGGCCATCGCCTTAAACTTGCCTATTTGGTCGCCACCGGATCCGATGTCCCAGTAGTTGTCGACCATAGTAATCCATCCAACATTCGGTTTGTCCTTCCACGACGGCTTGGGCTGTTCGAGGTAGCCATGAGCTTCAACGCGTGAGGTCAACGCCAGTACAATGGCGGAGGAAAATACGGCCCCAGCTAGCATCGGATTTAGCTTTCCAGGTGCTGTGCAGGCTGCAATTTGAGGAATGAAAACGAGCAATAGCGTCGCTGAATATATTTCGGCGTGGATAGACACGACAGTCTTGTTCACAAGCGAATGGTTTCGCCGTTTGCGTGAAGTGGTCAAAAACAAAAGTCGTGCAACAAAGCTCGTAATCCTTAACGTGCAATCGTACGATAAAAAAAAATGATCGTTTCCTGAACAGTACTGTAAGTTACCGAGGCGCAGAGAAAAGCACTGAGATATGTCAAAACCATTTGAACCTTGAGAAGCCTTGGCATCAGTATTTGTTAGTACTTTTTGAAGTAGTATTGATATGCCGTAGAGTGTTAATGTCATCAGGTTGTGCCTCGTAAAATTACACTTCTCACTCTAAAACTAAATCACAAGCTCGCTTAACAGCTACTATGGCAACTGCGTTAACTCACCGGGATACCGTTAGAACTTCTGTAGAAATGCGTACGAATTACTGTACGATTAACCCCCTCGTATTTCGATTCCCTGTCTGTAGCATCCATAATTCTTTGATCAAATGCATGGCAATTATAACAATCCTTTTGACATATTTCAATGCTTTCCACTGATTTATGATAATTAAGTGACCTGCACAGCATGGTAACTCATTCCTACTTGCAATCCGGCACCTAGTATGTAAAGGTTCGGGCAGCATTACACGATTGTGCGTAAGCGTTCGCGGTATTTTTTCTAAGAAAATCCATGGATATAGACGATCCCTTCGGTAGTAATCCCTAGTTAGCGGTTCCCGTTCACCAGTCACATACAAACCCAAGATATTATTCCCTCCCACGTCTCAATCGTAAAATGGAATACATCTGAAGTCAAATATTTCTATTCTGGGGTGCTTAACTAAGGAAAAAGTCATTACTGTACAGTACATCCGAAGAAATCTAGCAAAAATGTTGGTGCTTGTGGCCTTGCTTTCTTCCAAGTTCTTCACGGAACGTGCGCTGCATTTCTCGCAATCCGCTCACCGATCTATTCGGTAC